CGGGAACGGGAGCAGGTCCTGGTGCCGGTCGCCGCCGGCTGCGGCAGCGGCGTGAGCGGGTGGCCGAGGCGGCAGCCTGGCCTGCAGCAGGGACAGGGCAGCCGGCGGCGCCGGGGAAGGGCTCATCCCTGCACAGGGCGCTGGTGACACCGCACCTCCAACACCGGGCTCCGTTGTGGGCGCCGCGCTGCACGGAGCACACGGAGGTGCTGGAGCGTGTCCAGGGAAGGCAGTGAAGCTGGGAAGGGCTGGAGCACAGAGCCCATGAGGAGCGGCTGAGGGAGCTGGGGTGGCTAGTTTAGGGGAGGCTCAGGGAGACCTTGTCGCTCCCTACAGCTACCTGGAAGGGGGTTGCAGTGAGGTGGGGTCCATCTCTTCTGACTAGTAACCATGGACAGGACAAGGGGACGTGGCCTCAAATTGCACCACAGGAGGTTCAGGTTGGATATTAGGAAAAACAATCTCAACAGAGAGAGTAGTCACACATTGGAACAGGCTGCCCAGGGAACRGGTGGAGTGACCGTCCCTGCCAGTGTTCAAGAAACCTGTAGATGAGACACCCGGGGACAGCCGGCATGGGGTGATGGGCTTACAGCTGGACTCAATCTATGGTGTGTTCCAACCATAATGAGCCCATGATTCTGTGACTGGTTGTGCTGGCAAGGCTTACGCAGGCCCTGCTTGCTGCCACAGCCCACGTTAGCCTTTGAATTCCCACTCAAACTAACTCAGGTGAGTGACCGCTGGTAGAGAACTCCCTGCGCACACAACGTTGRTGCCGGCTTCTGATCCTGCTGTGTCACGCACTGAACAAGGAAGAGGTGCTGGACCTGCGCTGAGCAAGAGAAATGCCGACAAAACCAYGTGGGACTTTGCGCTCCTTGCTCCAACCGTGTAATCAAAAGCACCAGCACTAGCGTGTGGAGCGCGGGCTGGGGCTGGTGTCCCACATCTGAACCACGCCGGCCGCTCGGACACGACTTCCCGCTGCTGTGGGTTTCCCGTTCAGTTTCCAAACGTTGCAGGGAAGAGGAGGCACCTTTTATTAGGCCCGTGGGTACAAGGGGAGAGGCAGACAGCGTCATGGCCAGCAGGGCTTGCCCCAGGCTCAGCGCTGGGGTGAGAGCCCGCTGCAGAAGAAAGGCTCTGGAGGAGAATGGGCTGCGGGCGAGGATGCCAGTAAATGGAGTAGGCACTWGTGCAAGTGTTAAATTTATTTCCTTTCTTATAATTCTGATGTCCTGTTTATTAAAAAGCCAAAAACCTATACACCAGAAATGTTATTGCAGCTGCACATTACTAACTGAAAAGCAATGCCTGAAAATGTGCTGTTAGCAAAATCACAACTGTTTCCCCAGATTTTCACCCACTGTTCCAAGTGCTTTTAATTTTTAGTTTGAATAAAGGGAGGTGACTTGGTGAACAAATTAATTCTAGATGTTTACTTTGAAACAAACAATATTTGAAGTCAGCTGTAAAGAACAAATCCAACAGTAGTATAAAGTGCAATGTACACTCTTTTAATTCTTAATGTTTAACATAATGCATGGTTTGACTTGTCCCATAATGTATATATTTAACGAACAAGCAAAAAGAACACGTCTGGATTTCCCAACACCACCTGCCTACCCTTCCCTTGTTTTGTATGTCTTGATTCTTTAAAATAGTCTCAGTGGATGAATTTATTCCTACAGAGAGCTTTGTTCCTAATGAATTAAGGAATCTCTAGGGAACATGAAGAAAAGGCCTGGTCACAGAATCAAGGAGCTCAACTGTAGAACTCTTCAGAACAGAGGCAAGCTCCATCTTTGTATTTTAGAGAGAATCCAAAGCCACTGGTCATTAAAAAAAAAAGGTCTTTGCTGTTTGCCTAGAACAGATGGACAGCTCTGTTTCATCTGGAATATAAAAGCTACCCCTTAAAATGCATAAATCTTGGTCTCAAGGACCCTGGTGTTCTTTGCAAGCTCTTCCCTTGTAAAATGCACACAGAAAATGAAGTATGTGCTTTGCTCATAATTCAAGACAGAGAGAGGCCAGTTTTGGGAAACCTTTGTAAAGGGAAGGCGGTTCTTAGCTTGTCAACCTGTGATTCTCACCTTGTCTCTGCGTGCCACAAGCAGCAGCATCGTGTGGAAGCAGCTGCTCCAGCGTGGCTAAAGGCTGCAGTAAATAAACTGTGGGCTGCTATTTGTAGTACTTAGTAAATTAACAGTTTTCTCTTGATACAAACATTTTGCTCAGAGTTTACACACAGTGACTCTGAACATGTGAACAACAAAAGTATTCCATTTTTTCTTAACTGACCATCAGTGACTTGATGTTCCAATTGTGCTCTGCACGTTAGCGGAAGCTCCGAGCTCTCAGCCTGTGGGAGCCGAGGACGTGCTCCGTTCCTACACTGGAGTGGCACGTTCCTGTGGAGGAAGCTCCAGCAACTCGTGCTGCAGCTTGGCTCGCACCTCGCGAGCCACCAGCCACGCGCCAGATGGTGACGAGGTCTCACAMGGAGCGAGGCACCGTTCTGCCAATGCTGCCCCCCGAGAGGGAGAGGAAACAACGGGGAGGCTCTCACGTTTCCAGCACTAAGTAGGATGAGACATATGGCTGGACATTCATCATGGGGCTGTGCCACGTGTGCTCGAGGCTTCCGGAGGGCACAGGGACCTGCTGTCGCTCCGACACCTGGACCCAGAATAGGTCCTTCTTAAGGGAGAAAAGCCATGGAGCAAGTCATCCTCGCAGACAGCACATCTGCAAGGAAGTCAGCAGAGGAAAATAAGCCATGCAGAAATATCAGGATACTTTTTTCCAGGGAAAAGAAAGTTCTTCCTCTGGCCAAAGCTCCAGAAAAGAAACAGTTGTTGGTAGGGAGCCTTGGAAGCAGGGTGAAGGATCCGTGAGATTCTTCTGGGAAGAAGTCAGGCTTGGCTTGTGCCAGGGTCCCAGAACTCTATGTGAAAATGTTGAGAGTAGAAAACTAAAAGTAATTTTTTTGTAGGGCACAGGTTCTTTCAGCTACCTCTGTTCTGCCTTATAAAGTGAGGGTTTAATTATCCTCACTTYAGGGTTTATTGATCAGGGCTTCACTGGAACTCACTAGAATCACAGCACCTGCTTGAAACCTAAYTTGAGCCTGGATTCCTGGCACATTTTTGGGAATATACTTGTAACTTAAGCATCCCCGTGCTTTCAGATTTAACAGGTGAATAGCTTTGCAATTGGGAAATGAAGTTCTTAACTAATACAGCACGAGTATTATTATAGCATGAGTATTGCAATACATTTTGGCTCCAGAAAACCTCCCATCTCCCCTCCCTTCCAAGACCATTAATGGATAGGAGAGAGAGAAACTGATTTAGAGAAACGGATCTTCCTCAGTAAACTATCAAGCAATTCTGAACAGAGAAAAAAATGTTTTTCTGCTCCTACAGACCGAGCACACGACAGGGTCGGCGGCAGGACAGGAGCACCGGCGGCTCCCACATCGCCCCAAACATACGGACACTCACTCAGGGGCGGCTCTGGGACACCAAGGGCCTGCCTGCACATCCAGGGCAACAGCTTAATGCTGCTCAGCGTGCTCACAGCCTCTGTCAACACCCTTCGTTAACAATAAAATGTGTGACCTCTTTTTTTCCCCCCTACACAATCCTTACAAGTTTGACGAGTGTTTGAAAATTCAGTGCAGTGGRCTTCCTATGTACATGGAAGACAGCTGCTTTATTAATGCAGGAATACATAAAATAACTTGCACTGTTTTGGACTACAAGTAATCATTTTGAAGGCATAGCTGGTCATTCTATTGCTGTGTGTTTGGTCAATGACTACATCCACTGTTCTGAAAATGAGAAGAATTTAAAAAGCACAAAGAATACTACAAAGTGTTCATCRAGTAGTTTCCTCCTGCCATGTTATCAATATTCTGATCTACTTAGAAACAGACAGAAGCAAAATTGGCAAATACTCATCTGGCAACTTTTGTTAAACTCATCTGACAATAGCTGCATTCTAGAGTYCACTTATCCTTACAGATATCCTTACAAGGAAAGGGAAACTCTCCTTGTTTGCACTCTCAGCATCTACTCAGATTAGTGTTTAGGCACACAATGTACCAAGGTCTGACTTGGTACGAATTAATAAGCACTCATCACAAATAGATGGGTATAGAAATCTATCTCTGCGTGGCCACTGGGGATGGCAGAGTCAATAGAAATTACACACCCGTCCTCTTCACTCTAGTCTTCCCCAATAAAGATCCAAAAGAGTCATTTGATTTTATATCAATTTCTTCCCCCTGCTATCCCCACTTCTAACCAGCGGAAAGTGCAGAGGCACTAGAGTTTGAATAGCAAGAGAACTCACTGCCTAGCAGTAGAACACACTAGATAGGGCACTACTAAACCTAAAGTGCTATTAATTTAGGATTTGAAAATTGTGTGTCTTGGAACTTATCTGCAACATATGTGTTAAGAATGACAAGACTATTAAAAAAAGAAACTAAAAAAAAAGGAACAAGAGCCTTCACAAGTCCAATTAAAAATTTATTTTTCTGCAAAGTAGGACATGTTTACACACAGTATGACAGAAAAAAAAAATCAGTTGGACACTGCAAGTGTCCTTTAGAGCACAACATAAGCAAAGAAAAAAGAAACCCCACAAACTTTGGATATTTCATCCAGCACCTCTGGTTTTATTGATTATTTTTTCCTTAGTATAGGATTAGGACACTCCAAATATAACTCACAGAAAATATCTGAACACCAGCATATTTTTGGCAAAAGTGCTGGAACATGCCCTCCTTCCTCCCCAATGATTCAGTACACTTAAAAAAAAAAAGAATCTCACTGACACTTTCACATGACTCGAGTAACATTTTGAAACACAGTGCATACTCTCTGCAACTCTTTTTGCTATAAGGCTAGCTTAGATATAAGGCAAATACAACCTTAGCTCTCAAATATTCCATGATTCCATAAGATACCTTTAGCGCAGGTGCCCGTTTCATCCAGAGACACTCCCGCTTCCTTCATTGTAATTCACTGTTCTCCCTTCTGATCAAAACAAATACACTTCAGGGAGATGCTGTGCTATCTTCATCACTAATTGCAAAGTACTAAAAAGTTACAAAGAAAAGCAATGAACAAAAATAAACAGTATTCACATACTCAAAAATGGTTTTGTCACTTAAATAACTTTTATCTGCAATTACAAAATACATACACTTAAATATCTTCGTAAGAAAATCACAGAAGAGATCACAGATTATGTTTTACCTTTGATAACCTAACTGCCCTAATTCTGGACCAAGGATATACCTGGACAGTGTTACTACCTAAGACTTTTCCCTAGTATAATTGACTTTCTTAAATATACAGTAAATTCTCTCTATTCAGACAGATAGTGCAAATAAAGACATTCTTTGGGTCACGATTTTAAAATATTACTTCCGCTGTTATCTTCAATTTAACACCATTTTAGTAAATAAATGAGTAACAAAATACTCTAAGTATTTTTAACATTTTCTAATAGCAATAATATATTTCCTTACTTATCTCTGTTTAAAGCAGATCACAAAAAGAATAAGCTACAATACTGCCCATCTATCCAAAAGATATGTTCTATTTATAGTTAAATAAATATATTTAGAATCATTTTCCACTGCTTTCCATTTACGGTTAGCATCCCACGGCATACTACACCGAATCATGATACCAAAATATCTTTAGAGACAACTTAGATGACTTGAGCAGAACTGTGCAGAGGCAAGGAAGTAATGCTCGGGGAACCCTATGCACATAAGTTAAGCCTACAGATATCCAGCACAGTCTAGAGCAGAACAGTGTACGCATCTTTTGGAGTCAACTGCTTGGAGTTGATCTCCAAAAGGGCCTATTTTGGAGTCAACTATTGCGCTGCCCCAGGAGCAGCACGGAGCTCGCCTGGGGCAGGAGCTGGCCCGGCCGGGCACGGCCTGCCCGCTACCTAACGCCGCCCGCGGCGCCGGCGCGCCGGCCCGAGGCCGCCGCCAGGGCGTGGCCCGTTCCGTTGGTGGCGTTGGCTGCCGAGCCGTTCACCACCATGTAATCCACTTTGCTCTCCAGCTTCACCAGGCGCTGCAAGATGTCGTCCAGGAGGACAGCAATGGTCCTCTTCAGGTCAGCTGAGAACAGCAACAACAACAAAAATGGATCTTCATACTAACCGCGCGTAGAAAAGAATTGCTATGTTGACATATTCGCATCTTAYCTTTTCAATCGAGTTGCCCAGAAAATAATTCAGGAAGGAAGTCATTGAAGACTTCTAATAACAACAACATTAACCTAACAAATGGCAGATACTTTGGACACTTGGTAGTGCCATAAACGCAGAGCAGTTTGGCACTGCCCTCCTGCCAGCCTCCCAGGCTGCTTTCTGCTCATCTAGACTTGCCTCCTAGATCCTGAGCAGCAGCAAATAATTCGGACATGTTCTTGCTGTTGCTCCTCTCACAAGGGCACCCACAAGCTTCTTTGACTACTAGTAGAGACCTGCCTTTTATAGTTCGCGTAGGAGAGAAGCATTCAAGTACATTAAAAAAAATCCAAAACTGTTTTTTCATAATTTCTTTTCAAGCCTTATATTGCCCTTATTTTCACAGATATATCTTTATTTTTGACAGAACATCGAGAGGTAGTTCCCTCAAACCTAATAGCTAGGGGATTAACTAGTAGTTCACAGTAGGCTTCCCTACTGTGAGAAGCTACAGGGCCTTGAAGCTGAAAGGTTGTAATTATGAAGAAAAGCTGCTTTCATGGCTTTGCTAAACGCAACTCAGTAAATTAGCAACAAGCACTAATTCACTGAGTTTTGAGTTCTGTCACAAGAAAAAGTCTTCTACAAAAGTCTTCTATTCTCAAGAGTTATATTTCACCACATCTTAAATTTCAGCTTCACTGAATAAGCTAAATATCAAATCAGTTAATTGTAGAATATTTTTGCTCTCAAAGCACAGTTTACATTGCCCAAAGAAGGCGGGGGGGGGCGGGGGGAAGTAAATATATGTGTGTATATTTTACAGTTTTAATGGAAAAAAAATATTTGAGTAACTAACATGCTTTTTCTCTTACCATATCCTGCCATGGAAGCTCCACTGCCACCATTCATTATTTTCTTATTTTCTTCTGCGAGTGCTTTGACATATCTTTTACTCAGGTCTAGTATCTGTTCACGCAGCTCACTGCTGCTTTGGCGCCTGGGGTACTGGAAAGTGTAGCGCAGCAGCATCAAGCCCCAAATGATTCCAAAGACCAGCAGAAATAAACTCAGTTTCTGGGACGCGCTTTTTCTTGAAAACGTTAAGAACATTTCTGATGAAGGCTTCAGATGTACCTTTATTTCGGGATAAGAAACTGAAATTGATTTTGTCAAATTCTGTTACATATTAAACAAAAAGATGACTTCTATGAAGTGAAAAATYCTCTGGTGGAGTCATCTTGGACACATATTTTCCGTAGTGCTCTTGATTCCTGAAATGTGTAAAACATTACTTGATTATTCAAAACTGCTTAAAAAATGCTACATTTGTTGACATCAAGGACAAATACCAGTTTCCAAATGCTACTGCATAGCCTATACAACAGCTGTGGATTTATATCTGCTCAGAAGTAGACTTATCTTTACCTTGTATGTTGTTACAATGTTTCTTATTATTATTTCTGCCATTTTTTCATCAAAAATACATAAAGAATCTTATGCTTCGACTAATCATCTCAAATGTTTTAAACACAATTGGAAAGCACATTAAATTCAAACACATTTTAAAAGACCTCTCTATAAAAAATTTTCATTATATACRTATTTTGAGTCATGTAGATATATCTATAAAAAAAAGAATTTTGTGAAATCATTCACTTGGTTTTTATACTTCACTTAGAAGCACTAGATAAGCAAGAACAATAAAATGCAGAACAGAGATTCTTCAATTAACCCCGGGCATCATCCTGTTTTGCTTTTGCACAGCATTAAGAAATTTTTCAGTTTAGTGTCTTGCTGATAAAGAAAACCAATATGAAGTTGCACACAGTCTTAGGATTTTGACAGGATCCCAACAAGCAAGCAAGCAAGCAAACAAGAAACTTACCATAGGAGCCAATTTTGACCCCTCAGTAAATCAAGGCTTCAGAAAGGCAGCAGGCAGTGGCAAAGTCCCAGCAGCTAAAAGGTGAACATCCAGGCGGCTCAAAGCTCTGGCATCTTCAGAACACTCTGTGTCTACAGAAAAAAACATTCAAACATGAAAACGCGCAGGACTAACACAACTAGAATTTTCACATGGAAGTACACGAAGTTGAAGACTTCAAGCCACACGCTTCTAAAATTGAAATACATTTTAAAGCCTAACTTTAAGTAACTACTAGGGGGTAAAAAAAATAGATTCCGGTTCCATTTTATTATAAACACACACAGCTGAATGCCCAGGAACTGATGTTAACACAGGTGTATGCACCCCCTCTCGTTCTCATCTTCCATTACACCAACCTGTTTGAATCATTTCAGTCTTTCCAGGTGTGTATATTACCTCATGTTGCTCATTTTTCTGCCACCTCTGAAACTTGTCCACTTATTCAATACTCCTTTTTTGATTTGTTTTTGTGAGAAAGTTATTCTTGTTTCATCCAGTAGTCTGGATAAAAGTATTTATTTGATATAATAGCATGCTATATACTTCCCACAGTAGTCTCCATTCTTTCCACCTTTAATCTGACATCAGTACTTTGGACTGTAGCTACATGCTGAACAGAGATTTGCTGCTCCTGGGATTTCCACAGTGCTACTTAGGCCTCTGTTTTCAATTAATAGGATTAGCTTAGGCTATTTAGGCCATATTGCTCCCCGTGCTAACCACTGATCTAAACTTAATAGAGCTCCAGAATGTTTTTCATCACCTCACTTGTGCACCTGAACTAGTTTTATACTGATATACCTTGGTCACCAAAGCTGCCGCGAAATACTAAAGTACTGCATGTAAAATGTAGTACTATACATATATTACCCTAGAGTAATTGCCAGGGCACAAAGTCTTACACTAGTGCACCCCACAGTAAAAAGAAGTGTCAAGCTCAAGGCCCTGAATGAGGMACATGCTGCTTACTGTAACTGTGCAACGCGACTATGCACATGGACTGACAGCCAACGTGCAATAAGTTTAGCATTGCACTTCCCATCATCACTTCAAMGGTTACTTAATTCAGAAAATGTATCTGTCCCCCCAAGGGCTGCTTTTCAGATAAAAAAAAAGAAAAAAAAAGAGAAAAGAAAAAATGAAAAAAAGACACAAACATATAATATAGCAAAGCAACCATAGAGATGTGATATGCCATAGCATCAGCTATGAACACGTGGGACCGACAGTCCCAAATGCGGGCTGGCCAGAACTCTTTTTCCCCAGCTCTTGGCAAAATCCCGGGCTCTGCACCTGGGCTCCAAGCCATGGACTGCACCCACTTTATTCTGCATCTACATAATCCCTGAATAGTGTCACGTAAGAGAAAAAACACTTATGGATTAGGTTCAGAAACAGAGTATTCACACAAGGGCTCAGATAAGCGAACAGTATCTCTCGGAAAACTACAAGTTTCCAACCTCCCTCCTCAAAGCTCTCTTTTACACGCACACAAATATTTCTGTGTTACTTGAGGCCTGAAAACACCACTTTGCAGAGCTGCAGCGACTTTCAGCTCTCCACAGATCCTCTCCACGCGAATCTCATGCCGAGAGCCCTCAGCAGCCGCTCTCGCCGGCGCGCTCTGCCGCGGGGCTCACGCTGCTGTCACACCAGGCACGAGACCACGAGCCAGCAGCAGAGYCCCGGCCAAGAGGAGCAGACTGAGCAAACTCCTGCCAAGGAGCAGGAGGAAATACAGGCTGGGCCTTTGCCATGTGTATTGGATTCACAGTGCACACACGGAGCTGCCGAGCCCGGTGGAGAGCAAGGATTTAGCCCTGTGGGCAGATGGCACGACACCCAAACACTGACCCTGCACACAGGAATGGGGAGAAAGAGGTACTAAAATAAACAGGGCTGTTGGCACCATCCGCGTCTCCAGTGCTGCAATGGCTTTTTGTTGAATTTCAGCATAACCACAAAGTTGTGGAGATCTGGTCTCCTCCTCTTGCTTCCCGAGACATGCAGGTCTCCTAGTATTCCACAGCACACTCCTGTCTGCAAGACTCTTCCCAAGGTTAGATAGGACAGAATGGCAAGATGAGAATTAGGGCTATACAAGTGTGATTTGTAAATAAAAGGTATATGGGAGGCGCAGATGTGCATATTCAGAAGATGACAGTGCAATAAATAAGAAGGATGSATTTGCTAAGTTTTATCTCTTGTTGCCCTAAAAGGTCAGTACTTCTTTGCACAAATACCTCTGTTTGAACAAGACCTGCCTACGGAATGGATTTTTGTTTTCAGCACCTCCCAGGTGCTATCCCATGAGGTAAGGGCATGCCTGGCAAGGAGCCAGGTCTCCCGGGATCTTTCTTGTCTCTCATCCTCTCAGTTTCTCCTTCTCTGCCTCTGTCCAAGACTTCCGTCCTCCGTGGCCCGGCCCAGCAGGACCTGCAGGCTCCCCGCTTTCCCAGCCTGGAAGTGCTTCACGGGAACAGAAAACTCAAAGCAAGGCAAGGAAGCAAAGGCCCAAGGGACATGGAGCTGGGCATGTTTGACACTCTCACCACCCCTTCCGAGACAGGAGGGGGAATGCTGAAGATGGAGGGATACAGCCAAGACACAATAGGCAAGTCTGAGGAACGTAGAAAAACTGAGATGACTATGGGGGCAAAAAGGCAACTGTAGGATTTTGGGAAAAGTGAGAATATTTCAAACTTATCCCAACAACAGACAATACRTATATCTGAGGCTAGGCTTGCCTTTCATAAAGGCAAGGAGTTTGCTTCTCGCACGGCAGCAATAAAGCTGCCCACGGCAGAGCTCAGACTGCCCAGTCACTGCAAACTATGGGACCCATCCTCCCCCASATACTCTGAACAGCAGCTCCAGCCCTATTCCCACACCACGAGCACGCATCCTGTGTCCATCAGTGCATGACACAACAGGAGACCAAAGGAAAAAAAAAGTTGCAACCCAACAKATGTTCTAAAACTAAAGCAAAATTTTATTTATCTCTTATTTATCTCAATTTTTTTTTATCTCTTATTATTAACTGGTTACTGGCTATTAACTCACCAGTAATGCCAGGCTTAGGTTTGAATGCTGATGGTACTCCATGGAAACCACCCTATTTTTGCAAACATCACATTTCAATCTTGTTGCAAAAATTTCTTCAGATTCYGCTTTACTTATTCCCAGTAAACACTAGAGCCCTTATTTGCCTACAACACCAAACACAGTAATTCCTTAGGCCAAAAAAGAGCCCTATGCACCTTTGGGAACAAACCTAAGGGGATGAGATGAAAACAGGGCAGATTCAAATACTTTGAAGGTCACCATGTACCTTATTCCTCTGCCCCTCCTGCTAGTCAGGCAGCAGAGCAGAGCTGCAGTGAGCAGCACTTGAGGACACACGAGGCAGCGGCAGGTTCCCCATCTCTGCTCCCTCAAGATATTTGGTCGTCATTTTTCTGGTCTGCTCGAGAGGAACCCACCCTTCCTGAACTGCTATGCATCACTGCAAGCATCAAGAGGGTAAAAAATCAAAACTGTGTTTAAAACTGTGTGACATATACCTAAAAAGAATTAAAAAAAAAAAAAGGATGGATGGAGGGAGGGATGGATATGACTAGCTACAAGACAGAACCAGACAACCTTAATTCTGCATCAGGCATTCTCAGCAGTAAACATGTTATGCTTTAGCAGAAGTATTACAAAAGCTGGCTGCAAAACAGAGCCTCAAAGGAGGAAAGAACAGAGAGAGAGAGAGAGAAAGAGAGAGAGAGAGAGAGAAAGAGAGAAAGAGAGAGAGAGAGAGAATAAAACAAAGTCATTTTCAGAAGCCTAAGCACTGCATTTATGTCTTTACACTCAAGGTTACAAAATATTTTAAGCACAAGTTCCCAAAAATGCATTGAAAATAGGAAAATAGTATCATTAGCATATCACCCAATAAAGTCACCTCTTTGCTTATGTAAATTTGAAAGACATACTATCMAATGCTCAGGCAGGAGTTCCTCAGTAATACCCTAGAGACTTGCACAAAGCATTAGGTCTTTAAAGAACTAATATATTAGGAAAGCAACCTTCATAAATGGGAACCTCACTCAGTGTGTTACTTACTACCATAATCCTAATCTGTTCCTCACGGCCAAACTATGATCAACATCAGTCTGACACACTGAATTCAGAAGCAAGCCTGGCTTTGTGAATAATTGCCACTATTAACTATATAAACAGAAAGAGTGACTTATAATGACAGAGATAACAAAAAAGGACATGCCAGATACAGTCCTAGAAGGCTGCATCCAACTAACATYGCAAAGACCAATGGGGTAGAAGAAGTCTTGAAAACAAAAAAGGCAGATAGAATTCAGGACAGTGCAAGTAGAAGGTGACATTAGTAATTACGATTAAATAATTGTACAGTACAAAATTAGAATTTATTACTATCTCAGTGGAAGTGCAACAAGTTTATGAAGCATTCAAGATTTAAAATTAGCACAGTGAAATTATGTCTATACGAGAAATTTCTATTAAATTTCTGGCATCAGACATCTTTCAGTGCAGTGAGCGACTACATTAGTAAACAACAAATGGTGCCATTTGATCCTTCACCACAATATCCAAAATATTACACATCAAAAAAATGCAGCATGTTACAAAACACCAGGAGATGTCATCACAGTTTTATTACCTCTGTTCTATTACTCTTTCTTTTTAAATCTTTGCAGATTTCCCCCACTATTTCCCTGTGAGCACTGATGATTTAACCATGGAGTTAGGACCTCAGCAGCCTGAGGCACAAATTGCAGGAGCTACATGCCGAGATTTCCCCAGAGCAGGAGCACCAAAAATCAGAGCTGCAAACTACCAGCAGGCACTGCCGRAGCAGTCTTAGATGGCTCTCAGTTTGGGAGCAGAAAAATCTGCACAGGCTGCAGCTGACAACCACGTGCCCAAAGAAATTAAGGATATTATACAGGGCAACGATACCTCGCCATACATAGAAAGTAGCAGATGGAGAAATAACTTTCAGTGCATTTAATTCAGCTGTGAGGGAGTAATGATAATAAAAAAAAAAAAAAAAGGCACATGCTCAACTTCCCTCTCTCCAATTCTCTCTTCCTAAACATGCCTCCTTTAACAAATCATTTTGCACATCTCATTTGCACTGAAAAYTGATGTCCAGGAAGAATCACAGCTCTCACATTTTTAAAAAACAAGCGAGTTCCTGAAAAGATGCCAGTAAAACCACTTCCCTGTACTGGAACACAGGCAATGGCATCTCTCGTAGACCAGCAGCGCCCTTTGGTTCCAGGTTCACACAAACAACTGCACAGCACTACGACAGAGCAGCCTCCTCTGCTAMGGGCCAAACAACCCAGAGCTCTGTACAGCCCCAGGAGGCTGAAACCACAACTGCACTGTCTTCTCACAAGATCAAGTCTCAGCCTGTTAAGCCTGTATTATTTTTGGCTATAAAATTTGGGAGGTCGACAGCAGAGAGAGACAACAGAGAGAGAGCAGAGGCGGGTATCCCCTTCTGAAAAGCCTCAGCAATCAGAGCCCATGCGAGCGCTGGGCCCGGGTGCTGACAGGGCTCGAGGGCCTTTGCAGCCTGTGCCACGGACCATGCCCGAGAAAACAAGTGGCATTAACAGCTACAGGGCTCCAGTGAGAAAGAACAGCACCGGACCACACTGCGATCTGAAAAATACCACATCTTCCCAGAATAAAACAAATAAGGTGGCCCATCAGAATGATGGCTGCTGGCATGCGGTTTTCAGCTGCTCTGTACCACTTAGGAGCTGCCTAATGCTTGGTGCCCTTGCCAGCACCTCCATCTTAATGTCTTCTGCCACCACATACTCCTTGATGCTCTGCCTCTGTGTGCTCCAGCCTCGGAATTACCCAGGAGCTCTGAGGAGGAAAGCCCCAAAATCCCACGCTTTACTGCTGCCCGACCTTCAGGGGCTATTTTGAAGGGACAATCCAAATGAAATCACAGAAAGACATCACTGGAATTAATGAAACAGCAATAAAAAGACGAGAAACTACTCAGAACACCGAGTTTTCTTTCACGCTGTTGCAGAAAAGAGGAAAGCAAATCTCGGTGCGCGCCGGCGGGCCACGGCCGCCCCGCTGCTGCGACCGCCACCGACACGCCTGGGCACAGCAGCAGCTTCGCCTCCCGCCACGGGCAGCGCCCAGACTGGAGCTGCTGCTCCCGGGGACCTTGAAAGGAAAGCAAAAAACACCGCTTCAGACTCGAAAACCCGCAGGTTTACCACAGCTCCGCTGTAAAACCGTTTTAATACCCAAACACTAGATTGCCTTCATACTTCAGTAATACTTATTAGTTAAACACATGGAATGTTATTTGCATTGTTTTTATTTGACATCTTCCCTGCCAATGATTGTTTTCACTTTGCGTTAGGTCTAAGGATTTCGCTTAAGAATGCATTTGGAAATGCTTTTTGGTTCTTGAAAATATCCTGGTATTATTTTTCTTTATTTTGCCTACTGCCGTCAGTGCAGGCTTATAAAATAAACCAACTACTTAAAAACAGAAATTCTTTGTTCCTTGCCTGTAGGCGGCCAGCCAAGATTTTGAGMGGGAAAATGACTTGGCAAGGGCTATGAAGAAACTTAAAGAAAGCGTGTATCAGTGGGTACAGAATATTATGCGTATTGAAGCCCCCCTCCTCCCACAAGGTCCATCTGGGCCTCAGAACGTTCCCACAGCTCCCAAACAGCTTATTTAAGGGTCTTCCCTCTGTCTGGCACACTTTTCTCCATGGGCTTTATCACTGTCTTTCAGAGGACTATAAGCAAGACCCTGGCTCATCAGAACCAGTTATGAGACAGCATCTAGTACCTTCTTAGCCTCTTTAGTCCATGTAGGATCACCACAGTTCTGCTGCTGCTGCTGAACACTGGGCTATGACAAATATCCACTTGCAAAGCCCAAACAAGCACCCCTGCTCCGGCAGGAAATTTCACAGCTATGTTTGCACCTCACCTTCCAAATCACACAGGAATCCAGAACTTCCTTCTGAGGCCATAAGTTATAGCTAAAATTAGCTAGTTCTGCAGAGAGCCATGCTTTTAAGATCACAAATGTAGGCTGCTGGGAAGAGAGGCAATTTTAGCAAACATTTTAAAAAGAACTAAAGAAATGAAATAGCAAAGGGGCTGCTGCACTGGTGGAGAGATTGTCCCTGCAGACCCAGTCATACACGTACACACTGTGCACCATCCACACAAGAACTCATCCCACAGGACAGGGACAGAAAAGAGCACTGAAATGTACCTTTAGTGGGCAAAGGTACTCTGAATTCTGCAGGTTCTTGGTAACCAGATAAAGTAAGTTTACCCTCTCTGCCCCAGTGGAATCCATTTTATTTCAACACTGTTTAGGCCATATTTTACATCTGAAAAGACCCTCTTTGAAGTTATGTAGGTAAACGGTAAGGAAAATAACGTGTTTGGAAAGTCAAAAATGCTACAGGAAGATTTAGAAGGCTATTAATGACCCTCCAGAAAACCCAGGCCACCTARTAATACAAGACTCCCAACATGGCTGAAAGCTTGTCAAATAATAAATACCAGGTCAAGTACATTCTAGTGGCAAACTTGCACTAGGACAGCACATTCTTGCTGAAATGACTGAGCTGCACAGCAGATTTGTGATGAGTACTCAAAGCAACTTAATAGCTATTTCAACACTGGCTTTTTTTCAGATACACAGACTCCACAGATGACAACTGAAGCTGACAGCACAAATGTATCACAGTTATAGCTTGGGCACGATGTGAGAACTGGTGTCCTGACTACTCACGGAGAAGGCACCAGAAGAGACCTTGATGTCCAGCAGAAATATTTTACTTTTAGTAGTTACATGACCTGAAGCTGAGTAACATGCCATTAGCTAATGCCAATACTTCCTTCAACCAGCTAGGAGCTGACAGGCATCTCTAACAGAAAAGAATACAAAAGCTCTAAGAACTGAAGTAGTTTTAATAACACTTGCTTTAAGAAAAATACCTATTTATTAGGCCAAAGGAATTCCAATATAATTCCTTAAAACCCTGGAACAAGAAGCTGGAATGAATTAGTAAATACTTATGTATTGTAGCACATAAAATGAAAAAAAAAAAAAAAGGAAAAAAAAAGAGGCCAGAATAATTCAGGCTTTATACATGCATGGGTATTTCCAACTATTAAAATGTGAGAAAAGGCAGCAAAAACTTCTACGTTTGATCTACCTCTAATCTCTCCATTTATGACACTACAACAGGATGCTACTTACAGCGTATTGTTTTTATCTTCCCCTTGTCTCGTTTCTTTGATATTCTTGTAAGCAGTGGAAAAAAAGCAATTCATGACATTGGGTCTACAACAGACACATCAAGACCAAATTGCAGCGAGTTAGAGCAAGTCACATACACACCTAGCTATTACGCCGCGTTCGGATTCCATGGTTTTGCTGAAAAGAAGTCACGATTCCAAGAAATCCCTCCTTGCAAAGTGAAGACCTGTCACGCTTCCCCCCGCATTTCCCACCCACTCACCAAGGGAAAAACCCTGCGCCGAAGCTGCTCTAGGCTGCGGTGCAAAGACTCGCGTCACGTCACGGGGCTGAGCGAGAGCCCCGCTCCGAGCCGTGCTGCGGCGCCGAAACACGGAGCCCGCTCCCCGTCCTGCCGTCAGGGCCTCGCACGGAACGGGACACACGAGAGGGAATCTGCAGGATGCCACCACGTTACATCAGGGAACTGAAGAGGAAGTTTAGTAACAATAAATGATTAACCGGGCTACAGAAACACAGAAGAGATAACGACTGCGCGTTGCAAATATTTATAGAAATAAATTTCGGGCTGGGAAAAAAAAAAAAATAGTACTTGAAATATCAACAGCGACTTCATATAAAAGCAGTTAAATCCCATTTTAAGAAGGGCACGTAATCTCACAACCCCTGCTGCCGGCACGTCTTATACATTATATAATCTTCTGACATTAAACACCCGCCTCGCCTGCTGCTTCCCGAGGTTAGCTGTCAGCGGCAGGAGACCCCCCGACCCGGCGCTGGGAAGGAACCCGGGATCATCCCGAGGAGGGGACGGATGACGGCGCGTTTCCCCTTGCCCGGGGCCGGGAAGGCTCCCGGGATCATCCCGAGGAGGGGACGGATGACGGCGCGTTTCCCCTCGCCCCGGCCGGCGGCAGCAAGCGGCCGCTGCAGGCGGGAAGGGACCGGCCGGGGAGGGCCGGGAGCCCGGGCCACGCCGCGGCCCCCTCCTCGGCGCCGCGCACGGGCAGGAAAGCGGCCGCGAAGGAAGGGCGCCCTGCGGGAACGGCGCCGCGGGCACAAGCGGCGGCGGCGGCTCCTGCCCCACGCGCGGC